AGCAATCGCTGAAAGTTTCAAAGCGATCGGTCACTCGGTGTAGCTATGACAGACATTGAAACTTTTTATGAGGTGAGGTCACTTCAAGTGACCTGGTGACCTGACCTTGAATGACCTTGGTCTGAAATTTTCACAACATGTGTAGAATTGATGTATGATAAGGTGTACCAAAAACGGCGGCGCTCCGCGCCGCCGTTTTTGAGATATTCGCGAAAAACCACAAGGGGGGGGTGTTCAAACACCCCCCCCCCCCCCCAGCAGGGCGCGGGTTAATAACCCAGTAGAACCTCTCAGAGACCGACAAAGGGCCCTCAGAGGCCGGTAACGGGCCGTATGATGCCAACAATGGGCCTTCACAGGCCGGCAAGTGAGGGCCGGCAGTATCTTCAGGAGCCCTGTGGAGTCCTTAGAGATCGGCATGGTACTCTCAGACGCCGGTGGGGCCCTCAGAGTCACCGGTGTTACCGGTGGCTGACTGCCAGAGGCATTGGTGTGGGGCCCCAGAGGCGCCAGTGTGGGACCCTCAGAGTCGCCTATGTGGGACCTCAGGAGACACTGGTGTGTCAGACGTGGCGGTGTAGGGCCCTCAGACGTGTCTGTGTGGTGCCCTCTCAGTCGCCGGTGAAGACTTTCAAAGGCATCGTTGTGGGAGTCCTCACTCCTCAGAGACACATGCATGGGGGCAAGGGGTCTTCAAGAGACCAGCAAGGGCCAGCAGAGGCCTTCAGGAGCCCTGTGGGATCCAGGAGACCGGCGTGGTACTCTCAGGCGTGGGAGCCCTCAGAGTCACCAGTGTGGGGCCCACAGAGTTGCAGGTAGGTAGCCGTCAGATGCGCCTGTGTAAGACCTTCAGAGGCGCCAGTGTGGGGCCCTCAGAGCGGCCGCCGATGTAGGGCCTTAAGAAATATTGGTGTTAGTCCCTCAGATTGGCGGTGTTGGGCCCTCAAAGGCGCCAGTGTGAGACCCTCACAGGCGCCGTTATGGGCCCTCAGAGGCACTGGTGTGGAGCCGTTCCATGCGGGTATGGGTCAGGACCCTAATTAAAGCTGAGCTGACGCTTAATGGGTCAGCAAGGTCACTCAGAGGTCAGCACAGGGCCCTCAGAAGCCGGAGTGGGGCCCTTATGGAGATGTGTGATGTGTGGCGACTCAGGAGGCCGTGACTCCGTGAGGTGCTCTCACGAGTCCTGCGGGTCTTATCTCAGTCGAAATAAGGCATGCTTGGACCCTGAGCGGCCAATTGGCACTGCAGGGCCTCTCGGGCCCATAGGGCACCATGCATCTAATGAGGCGGCACGCGCCCCTTGTGCCCCCCCCCCCCCCCGGTTACGCTGCACTGGCTGCGGCCATACTGATAAAGGTAAATCATATTCTAACCGTCCCTATTCTCAAGCATAGGCGGCGGCCGATACCTGGTTTGCGCAATATGAGTGCCATCGTTAGACAATACGGTCAAAAGTGTTGAAGCGGCATGACTCCCCTGTGGTAAGAACTAAGAAGCAACATACTTACAAAATAAAGCAATGACAACTAAATTGAGGCTACTAAAACGACTCTGATCACAAAAGTAGTTACTAGGAAGGATTTCTAATCCATTTTTATTTAGTTCCTCGTTATAGGCGTAAGAAGTGTAAGTCTGAACGGGGGGGGCATACTTGTACTGAATGCCCTCCCCAGGCTCCTGTCGGGGGGGGCATATGCCCCTAATGCCCCCCCCTGGATCCGCCAGTGGATCAAAGTAAACGATTACAAAAACCTGTACGAAGCCAATAGATTAAAACGGTGAAACGATTTAAATCGGCAAAATGCATTATTTATCAAAGGTTTGAGTTAAACAGACAAGTTTGACACCTAGTGAATTTAAAGTTTCACCGGCAATTAATTTATATTCGATCAGTGAGCCTAGCCCAGGTTATAGTAAAATGGTAAATAATCCAAAATGTTCAATTAGGTACGATAATCCATGAGAATTATGAGCAAAATATGGCAATTTTTGACATTTCCTAAGGAATGCTTTATTCAGAATTTTTCCACAATTTCAATGATCCCCGATCAGTGAATGAGAGAATAAGAACAGTAAAACGGTGAAATAACCTTTGAACGGTTAAACGCAAAATTTACGAATAATTCTGAGGAAACATGGTAATTCTAACATCTCGCTTAGTGAATGTTCAGGGAATAATTTCACCGGCATTTCAAACGATTTTGACGAGTGAAGTATCAGTGTCAATGACAAAATCACATTACGTATCACGGAAATACGTTGCTGGCAAAATCATATCATTACGAATTTATATAGTTTTACGATTTAACGCCTGTAATGTTTGAATTGACCACATATAGGTTTTAGAAAGAAACGAAGCACAGCAAAGTTCTCTAGCATTTCAAATATAGCACTAGCTAGTTATCAGGCATAACAATTATAATTGAAGTTCTCGTCAGGACAGGCCTTTATCCGTGACGAAAACATTTCAATTTCATTGCTCGCACAACATTCAATTAATCATACGGTTCGCCGTTCATCGGTCAGATATTTCCTCTCACCGATGCTTTATTTATGCAGTCGTCAACAAAATTTTCCTAACGAATTTTGGGTGGCTGGCTCGCTCGATTGTCCCTGGACCCTGAGTAATGAATATTTCACGGAGTGAGCAAATTAACTCGGCACATCGACTGGGGCTGTTCGGTCGAGATTTACGGGCTTCTCCAACCGACTAATGCAGTTTAAGACTTATATAGCGGTCGGACAAGGGTCACACCGACTACAGCACAAAGCGCACGCAAGACAAGCTAGTTCGGTCGAGACTTATGGGCTTCTTTATATCAAGAGAAGGGATCGCTGCCGACTTGCACAACATGCCGCCCAAACAACAGGTGTCTGGGTCGCGGATTTACGGGCTTCTCCAACCAACTAACGCAGTTTAAGACTTATATAGTGGCTGAACAAGGGTCACACCGACTGACATGATTGTGCACGCGAACTAGCCTGCTCGGTCGAGACTTACGGGCTTCTCCATATCAGAAGAAGGCTCACTGCCGACTTGAGCGCAATGTGCACACGTAACAGCGATTCCCGGCCGATGCACCAAAATTATGTAATGTACCCGTGATGCCAGCGGCAGCGCTACCGCCAACACCCGTGCTATCCCCCGACAGCCGTCTGCCACCCGGCCGTGGTGGTCCAACTATTGCATTTACTTTACTATGGCATCCGGTGGACAGGGAATGCATCACCTTTGTGCACACACGGTGGGTCGCGCACCCTCGTGGGTTGCGGTGTGCATTACACCGTCTTAATTGCAAGTTACGTTATTATTACATTTACGTTACGTTAATGTTTAAACTCCGTGACTCATTCATTATCTCCGTTTTTCGTCCCTCGATTCGATGTCTCTCTCCGCCAAACACGATAAAGATTTCTGCTCCGTTATTATTAACATAAAGCAAGTATAACGCCAAAGAATGAAACAAGACTGCTCGGGAATGTACGTCTACGGGAAATTATGTCGCCTCAGAATAAACGCGCAGATTAGCCTAACATACCCTAACACGCGCAATCTACACATTTACTTTACCTTGCTCCTAGCCTAGCTAGGGAGGCGGGGTGAGCACAAAGCCCCATCCTCCGGGTCAGCGGGACACCTACCTCGAGCGAAGCCACCACACGAGAGCCCCCGATCGGCCGGCGCTCACGCGTTATAACCCAGCTCGAGGCGGGAGTCGGAACGGTCAGCCCGCCCGAGGTGAAAGCCAGCCTCGCGTTCCGACGCGGCGCCCGTCGACCAGGAAAACCTATTCCTACAGGCGCGGGCTTTACACTTTCCAAATAAAGAAACGTCATTGGGCTGTATGACCCGTAATCTTGGTTCGACCTACTCGCTAGTCCTAGGCGCTAGTCCAAGTCGATGTTTTTAAAATTTAGAACCACCATAGTACTAATAACTACTAAGTAATTATACTGATTATCGTTATCTTTGTGGTGAGCTCTAAAAAATTTGTGTTTAAACAACTAGAGCTTCGGTGGCAGACGGGTTTTCTCCTGCCGCTGGAGCAGGCTTAGAGGCTCAGCGGCCCAGCGAGCTACACCAGCGGACCCCGGCCGCTGAACAGCGGCGGCGGCCGGGTTGAACGACCACAGACAACCGTCGGCCGCCAACTGCAGCAGCGACAGATTCCCCATCCTCCAAACCATTCCTTTCATCGTGACCCTTAAACATTCACAAACCCCATCCCTCCCAGCGACATATCCCCCACTCTTCAAACCATTCCTGTCATCCAACTCTCGTAACCTTACCATTCACAAACTTCCTCCTTCCCTCCTTCACAAACATCAATTTACCGGTAAGTTTCACTGTCATTTATGTGTCTTAACGTAAATTCATGGGTTTTTTCCCATATTCATGGCATAGTACATGGATATGGGTTTTCCCATGTTGTCTTGCTGTAAAAGTGGCCACCGGTCTTAGTTAGGACGGCCGGTTTGTTTTGCGCGGCGTAGTTAGGTCGCCGCCCTCCTCGCGAGGCCGGTAACGTAAGTTAGGGCCACTAAAAAAAAAAAAAAAAAAAAAAAAAATATACGGCCTTGGTTGGGCTCTCTCTATCGTCTGGATAAAAATAGGCCCCGCCTATCCCAATCAGCTGCTGCATGACGAGTTGATGACGACAACCACTTACTTACCAGCAACCAATCTAGGGATAGCGTACGTGACAGTCATGGTGCAGCGGTTGCAAAATATTACATTAACCCGGTTTACATAGGGTTTGTTGCAAGCTTATATCTCCGTCCGTGATGTTGCAAAAGATGCCAATGGTGCTTAACAATTTACCAAATGATCCCCTCTAAATATTTGAAGACCACTGCAACGAAATTATCGCCAAATTAACGAGCTAGAGCCTCGTCAAATATGCTATGTAAACCGGGTTATTGTTATTCAAACGGTTTTTGCTTATTGCATAGAGGATATGTCATTAGATGAGGTGTTGATGAAGGCAGGTATTTTTTAATATTTTTTTGACAATTTTTTGCCCTTGTTCTTCTTAATAACTGAATCCGGGACCACCTGAAGTCTAAACCTTTTTTTAGATAACATGTCAATGCTGTCTTGAAATTGAAGTGTGAAATTTAGACAATGGTAATAGGAATAATGAATACCTAGCAATTTCACTAACAACTTGTTAATCTCTAGAAAGTGCAATTAAAATTAAAAGCACTCTGCCACACTGCTTCGATCCTGGTCATGCAATTAATGTTCATGGGTGGTGTTTCACGGCAGAGCACTGCAGTGCGCTGCGTGTGTCGGAGTATTGGGTTTCCATGGCAGTGTCAACAAACTTCACTCTGACGCTAAGCTATGATAGCATCCCAAAATGCTAGCACGCTGTGGCGCCAGCGCCAGCAGCATGCTAGCAGTATTTGAACTCAAACCTCTGTTCTTGGTAGGCACTTGGTTTTTCAGGACCTCTCACTCTGTTCCAAGTGCGATTCATCATAAACAAAGAGATCACATGCAACGTCATTCGAGTGACGCTATGGTATGCCGTAGCTACCATAGCATAGTTGCCAGCGCACACAGTGTCTGGGTGGTGAAACAGGGCCATTATTAATCACATTTGCTTTACTTTGTTTCAGCAGAAACCTGTCTGCACATGGGAGGAGCACAACAAAAGCCCATCAAGTTCATGCATGGCAGTGGATTTCAACAGGAGAAAACCAGAAAGAGCATAGATGCTTAAAGATTGCAGTTGTACACTGCTGTTATCACCTGATGTGAGTGGCTGGCATTGCTCCAGGCAAGAACCACCTGCAAGTGATGAGGTGGCGGCTCAGTCGTTGAGTGTGCTGCAGTGTGAGAGGCGCCCTGATCTCTACTTCATGATTGGTTTCCATTGGAGGTTCAACTGAGAAGTGAGAACTGACTGTGGCCGTGCTGGAGCATGCCAGTGGAGCTTCACATGCTTAGGGCAGCTTTTGAACAGATGCTGACCATGGCATGTCCCATCCAGTTATCACGTGCACAGAATGGTGGGGGAGGGCAACTCTGGGCTCTTGAGTCAGTCAGCCCAGACTGCACAGGGGTACAGATGGCCGCTTACGTTTGGTGTGTCCTGCACCGCATTATCAAGCCCAGTCTGCTGCCACAGGCAATGGGTCGGGCTGCAGACTATCTTGCAAAGGAGGCTGGCATCCTCTCCCATAATGACACACCAATTGGCAATCATCGCTGCGATGATCACGAGGGTGTCCGCTTATCTGCCATGGTGAGGTGGAGAGGCAGCTGGCCTGAGGGATGGTTTTCCTTCATCCGAGGCCCCCTTTCCCCGCCTGCCAGGCCCGGTCAAACGACGGCTTCACAGTGAACGACTTGCAGTGGATGCCGTCCCACAGCGCAACGAGCGCGCCGACCAGAGGCGGCGGCCAAGAGGCGGCCGCGCTCCCCCAGTCGACGGTCCCGGTGGACGTCGGCAACGCCCACCGCGCGACCATCAGATCGGCTCGCGACCGCGCCGTCGCCGACTGACCGCATGACTGGTATCTGTTCTTGATGTGGGACCGACTGCCACCGCCGGTCGCGGAAGGGCATCGCTCATCGGCCATCGACGTCCACCAGCTTCGCGTGGGTCACTGTTCGGGCTGCCACCAATACACCGAATCGGATGGAACCCTGTCGGCGAATGCCGGCGGTGCCCCGACATCGACTGCACGGCGGCCAGTGCATCGCGTGCCGGGAGGAGGCTGGCACCCCCGATCGGTCATCGGTCACAAACCGTGTCCCAGCTCATGACTGCATCCAGCGCAGCTCTGTGAGATGTTCTGCTGCAGTCTGCCGCGTGTGTTGAAAGAAGAATGAACATGAGAAAACCTCAAAACTTTATGCCTATTAGTATTTGACCAGTATTGGAATAAGTTTGGATTTTGAAAATTTGTGTCCCTGTGCTTGTGCCTGTGTGGAAAGGCATGCTTTACGGTGTACCATCTCAATTTGTGCGGCTGCTGACAGGCCACCTGGGTGCCAACGTATGTGCGAATCCGCGAATACGTTGTGTTTCGTCAGTCGGTATCGTTCTGAAAATATTGACTGCAATAGGCTATATAGCGTATGACGGTTCAGCCCAGCAGTAATAACTGACCATTGATTGGGCGAATTTTGTGTGGTGGTTCGCTAATACATAACCTAAAGAGTGTTTTGCCGGAATCGTTTAGTAGCAGAACTGACCGGAATATAAGTAGAATGCAACGGTTTGAATCGTTAATTTGTTGAAACGATTGTTCTCTGAGACCACTGTGTAACTTTTGACCTGAGAATCACCAATTATAACGACAATGGTGGAAGCAGTAGGCACTGTAGAGTGTAGGCAGCACTATATAGTTGGCACACTTACGCAAGCACACGACTTACGCAGTGGACATCTGCATCATGCATGTTAAGGTTTACTGGGAAGAGTGAGAAATTAGTCAGAATATAACTGACTAAGGAAAATAGGCGATATTTCCAATTGAGCTGGGGCGGAGAGGGGGAGGGGACGTATGGTCAGCTATGCCAATAATTCATTTTCGTTATGCAGCTGTGTAAAAGGGCGTCCGTTTTTTGGGTGAGACCTTCCCCATTGGCCATTTCCAAGCTAAATCGTGGTGGAGAGTCTGAAGACCTCAGCCTCGGTAGTCGGTACCCTGCGCGCTGCGCCACCTTGCAAAACACAAAGCAGCAGTCCTGACATCTACAGGCGTTACTTTTCATGAAAGCGCGGATGTGTTCGCGCTTATGCGAAGAAAATTCTTCCGAGTATGGTTGATAATGAGGATATAATAATAATAATAATAATTGTTGTCATTTATTTATTAATTCATTGGCAAAAGTACCCTAATAAATCGGTAAAGTAGCTTAAACAGTATCGTATTTCCTTGGGAAAAAAATGACGAACTCATCCTAAGACATCCAGATTATTGGCTGCGTTCGTCAGTCGTAAGTAGTTCAAGTTTTTGGAAAAAACTTGCTTGTGGAAAATCATAATATTTTAAAGATATGCCTATTTTCGAATGATTTATGCATTTATCTACATTGAAAAATGATTGTCAAGCAAAAGTGCAAAAGATTATTGTCAATTTATTTTCTCAAATCACTAATTACGAACGCACAAAACTCCAGCTTTTAATTTAGTGCGTGTGCGAATTGCGGTCAAGAAAAAAGATTTAAATTGTCTATATTCCTCTTACAACAATGAAGGATGAATGAGGAAAACGCTGTTTTGAGCAATTGTGAATTTATTTTTTCTCAATTAAGCAAAAGTACAAAATTTTCAACTATTATTACATTTACTCTCATAAAACCCATCACTTTTCAGCATGACGTCATGTCAGCCAAACTTACTAGCGCCATCTCTGGAGAGCATCTTTCGAAACCTCCAGACGATAGAGAGAGCCCCTTGGTTGTGCTGCCGTTGTTTTGCGTTGTTGGATGGTTGGTCATTTGTTAATTTTGGGGTAATTTGTTCAGTTGGGTTGTTTTACCGCTGTTTTACCCGTTTTACCATGCAGTCCCTGGTGTTTATCTGCAGCCGTTTCAGAGATGTCATTTGTATCCGTCTTTATCATTATAGGTATCATTGTGGGTTCAGGGACTTGCACAGACAACAAGAACGGGTGAAGGGCGCGTTTATCGTTGGACATATTTATATTATAAATTGGGAAATATACCACTTAGTTTAGGAACGTTATAACTTTCTTTAAAAGGACCCTCCCACCTTAACATTAGATTTGAGTTGAGATAGCCAAAATGAGGTCCCTGGCTCACAATTACCGGTTTCGGCACTCACAACATCGAGAAATGCCTTAAATCGGAAATATTGAATTTCAAAATTGCAGCATTTTGATTCAGAGGGGCTAATGCATAGGAATACCCCTCTGAATGTGTGACGTCAGCGCAGATATCTAACGATTTTTAAATGTTTGACTAAAACGTTTTGTAGCACGCGGTGGTATATGCTGCTTTGCGCGCAACAAGTGCCACACTTTCAGCTGCCAAACTATTGCTTCCAAATGAAGTCGCTAGGAACAGCGGAGATCCCAAAAAGTACACAAAAGTAAAGGTCTAATATCTTGAAAACCGGTGAATATTCTTCGGTGAAATTTGGTAGATATTCGTTTTCGCTCTTTCTGAACCGAGCGACATCACTTTCATGCCAATTCATAAAAATTTTTGAAGGTGGGAGGGTCCCTTTAATATTTACCTTGGTAACTATTCTTCAATTTGTCTGTTGCTTGTTTTGTGCCTTGTTATATGTTCACTTTGACTTGAAATAATCAGTCTTAATGAGCTGGATGAAATGTGTCATGTCATGTTGTCTGAGTCTTCCTAAGATCATTGAACTTCAAAGTAACCATCTCAAGTAGCACTCAAGTAGTATTACCAAGTGCAATGCATGCCGTTCCACTGGCCTCACTAAATGACTTGCTGTAATTTCATGTCAGTCAGGCTAAAGGCTCCTGTGGCATTTGTACCTTGCTGTGCTAGGAAAGCTTTTTTACCATGACTTTTTTCTTTTCCAGAAATCTATCTTCACAAGGCCTTCTAGAAATATCAAGATGAAAACGCTTGACACAATCACCTACTCATTTTCCATGATGGACAATGGGGCGATTCTCCTTTTGTTGGTATACTTTGTATCCTTTCAGAAGCTGTGCGCTTGCACATGGAAATTGTCATTGTGGTGCATTGCCCATTATCAATTTGTTACCTTTGCAGTCGCAGTGATAACTTATGCTTGGTTTATGAGGAGTTTATCAATATTGATATGGTTTTTGTGCTAAAAATATATGTACAAAGATGACTCATTTTTATATTGAAAATTCACTAGACATTCTGAGTAGACATTTTATTAGGTACCTATAATAATCAGACATGCATTGTTTATAAGTTGTTTAAGTCAAAGAAATTTCAATAAGATGTGCAGTTGTGTGAGGTTGAATGTTTGAAGTCATCATTGTGTGCCTTGACTTTATAGCCTTAAGTTACTACTACCATTTATTTTCTTAACCTACTGTCCTTCAGCTGATAACATTGTCTGATCTGGAGTGTGATTACCTGAATGCTAGAGAGTGCTGCAGTAAACTGAACTGGGTGAGTGTTTGGTAATTTGGTACCATTTACCCAGTAGTCACCTGATGTGCATAATTTATTTAGTTCTGAAAGGTGATCTGTTTGTGGGAAAGCTTATATTCTTTGTAATATGCTACACTGATTCTATTTATAAACAATTCACATTTGTATTACATGTGCCAAATATGTCTATGCAGAGCCTCCTCTGAAAATTTCGTTTGGGATGAGGGATTGCGAGGCAAATAGTGGTGGTGAGATGTGGAATCAAGACGAACTTGGAGGAGCTTGGAGGAGCAACGGGAACGATTTTTTGAAACGAGAGGAGGTTAGAGGAGCTTGGAGGAGGTTAGAGGAGCGACGGGAACAGACCCATTGTCCACCATTTAAGCTATTCTGCTGTTGTACTGTGTGACTAGAGATTTACATCTCAATATCAAGATCCTAGCTAGAGTATGCAAGCATTCACTTGACTGTGTGTTGACCAAAATGAACAACTATGAATCCCAGGCCTGGCATATCGACCAGGATAATAATCCCGATGTGTGACAGTATCCACTGCCCCGTTTTACACGGTGACGCTGCCGGCCCTTCCAGTGGACGCCGTGGCTGCTCGGCGGCCAGGCGCTGCTCTCGGTGGTGCTGCTGTTCTCAGGCCACTGGCTGCTGTGGCTCCTCAATGTGCCCGTCCTAGTCTGGCTCGTGTACAGGTTAGTTCCTATATATGGCCTTGGGTTAGTTAAGACTTGGGTGTGTTAGTTGGGACAGCTAGGTTAGTTAGGTGTGTTTGTCAGGTTAGCTAGGCTAGTTAGGTGCGTAGGCTGTTGAAAGTAGGCCTGACATGCATCGTGGCTCACCTGTGGCAGTTTTGAGGTACACTAAGAGGTCACTTTCGTGATGTGTGTCAGTTTGGATTCATTCTGTTAGGTGTCACAGGCAGTACTAGCATCGAGTGATCAGATTGGACCCTTTGTCGTGCCGTGTGCCGCAGACAATGGTCGGTGAGGCCGGGCAACATCGGCATCTACGATCCCGCCGACATTCTGAACGGCGGCCAGCTGCAGCGGCACACGCGAAACACCATGGTCTTCATCACGTTCTACCTCATCTTCTTCTTCGTCTACCTATACCTGTGAGTGCCGCGCTACCCGCCACACTGGATGTGTGCGGAGCGCCGCCGCCAGTGCGCTGGTACTCCCGTAAGGTTTGCGGAATCCATCGGATCAGTGTGGGACCGAATAACTTGCCCAATTTCTGCATTTATGATGATTTGAGCACGTTTTTAAAAAGTTGTTATATTCATAATTATGCTCAAACTAGCCATAGCCCACCTCCAACGAAAAAAAAAGTTGTTATAGTCTGGTAAGGCCTACTAAATCACCATTGTCTGCTGCTGTGACCCAGCCCAGGTTCATGCTTCATGATACATTGTAGAACTCAGCTTGGTACTGCAAGAATATATTTAAATATTAAGCAGTAGTTGGTCTTGGAAAGAATAGCATGGTGCATTATCAGCCTAGGGAAGGAATGCTCCAAAGCTCTGAAATATCATCAACTCATCAGACATTTTCTGCTTTTCTGATCCATGTTTCACGGGCTTCGCCTCTCACCTTCTCCAGGGAGCATCATACAATACAGTTTACCCTGCCCTGACGATTTGTATTTGTCCAGAGATGTGTTGACTAACCTGCCCTGTCCCCTTTTCACGGCCAGGTTCATCTTAGCGCTGCTGCAGACAGATGAGAAGCCTCCGCCACCGATATACGAGCCACGCCACCTGTAGGACCGTCTGGGAACTCTGAAAGTCGCCGCTGCCGCTGGAGGGCGCCAGCAGCTGCGGACCATCCTAGTCATGGATCGCCGAACGGTATGGGTCGTCACGGATGTGGCTGGTTGTCATGGTCACTGGGACCATGTTGCCATGGCGACTGTGGAGTTGTTTGGTCTGTTTTGTGATGAGGCTGCTCCGTCCGACACGAAGCAGCAGAGGCGGGTGGGATGGGCGGGAGGCGTGGCTCACGTGTGAGTGTTTTTGCGCAATAGACACTGGGCAGGGATCTGGCGACCATCGGGGCCGGATGGGATAAGGCGTTAGGTACGGAAGGGAATGCGATTGAATCATGATAACACGCTACCAAAGTGCCGCTGTGACCAAACTGAAGTCAGGGTCCCTTTCAATAATGATAATAAATGACCGTTGATGTGTTCTGATCAGCAGCGATCAGTTGGCGGCCAATTTAAGAATATCTGCTTTATATTTGCGATCAAAGCTTCGGCAGCTAACTTATAAGAAAGAACTGGCATGCCTTTAACTTGGCCATGTTATTCCTGCGTTCATTCAGACAAAAGTGATCGCTCAAGCAGGCTAACAGTCAGCTTAGCAGGTATCTGTTTTGTCTAATTAATTTGTGTGCCAATATTTTGTTTTTACCATATCCGTTTCTGTTACGGTGCCTGCTGTCGATGACCCTTTTTGAGCCTTCCAAGGATGTCTGAACAAAAACGGTCGTCAGGGCGTGCAAAAACTGCTTATGCCGTGCACACCCTGTGCCATTCAAACTCGGAATGTTCTGGGTGATGAAAGCTGCTGACAGTTTTAGGAGCGGTCCGTTCCGAGAATATCCTCTGTCCGTTAGACATAGGTCATGTGATGTTCAATTGTGGTATGATTTGATACGAATTGAGCTTAGCGGCATCGCAATGCGTCATCGTTTGCTGTTGTGTTTCACGCAAAAAGGTTTGATGTCTCTTATGTAAATGTGAAGTGGGAATGCGGCCCGTGAATGTGGTTTGAACGTGATCTCCCCGCTTTCATTTAACTCAGTTTCCAGAAAAGAAAAGTGTCATTGACGAAAGAGCCCACCTTCCTATTTCGTTAAGGACGTTCGATATGGAACACTCGTGTCTTTGTGCAGTGTGCACTGTTCTGCGAGTGTATCTGCCAGCTCAACCGCTGCCCGAGTGTCTGACAGAAGGACCGCCCTCTGAATACACCATCTCTCCATTTTTAGCCCTGCGTATGCGAATGTGCGCTGTATATGCGTATATATGTATGAGCGGCATGCGTATATATGTATGGGCAGCGCGCTGTCCGGTTATGCGGCTCACTGAATGTAACGCCTGGTGCCGCGGTGCTGTATGAAAAATTACAGTACCTACCGCCGCACTGTCTGAATAGCGAGTCGGTAGGTACCCGGATGTGATCTGGCACCGTTTAGCGACCTAAAGCCTTCTATTGGACTACTTCCATTAGTATGGTGGTAATGTTACGACAAACAGAAGTCATTAATGTGTGGAATGGTACGGTACGATGACCCTGAGTCCTATGTTGCACTTCACTGGTACAACGGTACTGAGACAGTACCATGCGTACTAATACCGTACAATGACCCTGAGCCCAGTGTTTTGGTACTCCATTGTTTCGATCGTAATGTTACTGACGTCGCTATGGTCTAGTCTAGTACCTTCAGTGGCCCTGAGCCCACTGTTTTGATACTTCGCACTATCGGTGATCGAGTTCACCCGAGGCTGACCACTGGGTGTGACTCGGTCAAATCACGAGATCGCCGTGTCACGGAAGCGGGCTGCGGTTACCTGATAACGGTAATTGGACGAGATATTATCACCGGCGGACCCCCGACCTTCACAGGGTGATGGACCTAAACACCACTGACCGAGTGACTGTAGTTGATCCCCGGATAACGGTAACCCAGTCTTTGTCAGTCTGTATGACAGTCTGTCTGTCTGTCTGTCTGTCTGTCTGTCTGTCTGTCTGTCTGTCTGTCTGTCTGTCTGTCTGTCTGTCTGCCTGTCGTCGGGTGACTGTAGCCTGCCGTCACCCTACTGTCGGCAGCCGTGTGCTGAGCACACTTTGTCACTAAGTGACGCTATAACGGATAACCCAGTATTTGAGCGGGTGACTAACAGGCGGTTACCGGCGGACGTTATCACAGAGACTGGGACTGGGTCACGGTAGCACAAAGTCACTTGGTGACGGCACCCGTTGGTTACCGGGTGACGGTAACAGGGGATGACGTAGCCGCGCGGCGGTCAGTGGCCGGCCTTGACGGTCGGCTGCTATTTCAAGCTCGCCCAGCTGGCCCAGTGCCAAAAATGTGGCCCACTCCGGCCTCTCCTTTCCCGGGGGCCGGGGGGGGGGGGGGGCGACAGACAGCCGCCGCCGCAGTGGGACAAGCAGGCGTCATCGGAGTGTGATGAACGCCAGCGAGTGACGTCGCCAAGAACACATGTCGTACGTCAGACGTCGCGGAGCCAGCAGGCCACTGACAAACGGTCCGGCGCAGACAGAGCTCCTTCCATCGCGGGTCGCCCCGGCCCACCGATCGCCGCAGGCTGGGAAACCGACAGTGGTGACTGACGAGCGCCCACAGCCGCCGTTACGTAACAACACACATTATGTCCATGGGGTGATGTGGCGGCTCGTAGCGACCGCGGACAACAGCGGAGGAGCGAGTGCCAGCACCTCATTGATTCCATGTTCGGCTATTCGGGGCGTCACTGCCAGTTTCCGCTTGGCCCGTGTTTGTCCGTTGCCCGAGGCCAGAATGGCCATGTGTCACACGCAGGCGCCATCAGTTCTATTCAGGTGGGCCAAGTGGGCCGTTTTGAGCAGCGCTCCCGGCTCCGTGTATTGACCGTCTGTGCACATATAGAGAGGCGGCCAAACGCTGTATTGAGCGGCCCCGCGTCGCCTGGGAGCGCACCGTGTGGGTGAGCACGTGCTGCGCTGACCCGGCGACCCGTCTCCGAGCGGCAGTGCACGTCACCGGCGCCTGCCCGGCAACAGAGGCCGGCATGGGGTCGAGGGGCCATAGCAGGGCGAGGGGCCGGCATGGCGGACCCGCGCGGCGCGCACCGACCGGTATAAGGAATGCAACCCGACCCAACCCGACCCCAACCCGATTGATAACTCGATCCTGGTCCCGACCCGATCCAACCCCGCCCACACACGACCCGATTTGATCCGGCCTGAACCGACATGACGGCCCAAAGCACAAGTGGCGCTTCTCGATGTGAACGGATCATCATCCGTTCATTGTTCATAGTCGAAGATCGCAGCCGCGACGAGAGGTAATATGAATTTAAAAACGCTTTCCGCTCATTTCCTTCCATCAGTGAAGAAGCTTTCCATTTCATTCACCAAGTTTTCTATTCGAAGCCTGTCATCGCAGTGAACGGCTGTTCATGGCCAGGGAGGGACGTTTTTTTATACGCCGGCTGTGTCGGTTTCTGAGAAAGGACGACTGGTATTCGGCTACAGTGGGTCAGGTCAAGGTAGCCCAAACCATAAGACTGGGTGCCTGGGTACAGAGGCCAGAGAACACCAATTGACTGCCAATGGGTTCGGTGTGGCTCAGAACGAGACACTTAGCAGGACGTCATGTTAGGGCAGGTCAGGTCAACGGTAGCGGCACGCTAGGCGAGGTCACAGGCAGGTCTTTCCAGGTCAAGAAAGGCGGGTCTTTCTAGGTCATTGTGGTGGGTTTTATCAGGTCAATGCTGCTCCGGATCTGCCCAGCGGGTTTCTTCAGGTCAGCAAGGCGGCAGTCCAGTCCAGCGGTTCAGTCTAGGTCATTAGGTACAGTGGGTTGGACCAGGTCAGCGCTGCTCCAGGTCCGTCAAATGGGTCTCCTGAGCCTGTCTTACTGTCTAGGTCATTACGGCGTGTTGCCTGTTGGACCAGGTCAGTGCGGCTCTAGGTCAGTCCCGCTGGTCTGCCCGGGTCTGTGCAGGTCAGTCCGGCGTTTTTTTCAGGTCAGTGAGATTACAGGTCAGTCCAGCACTAGGTTTTCTCCAGATCAGTCCGGCGGGTTTTCTCCAGGTCACGTGACAGCGCCGTGGTGACAGCGCCGCGCGGTTCGGCTGAGTCGGCGCGCGCGCCGGCCGTTCTGTTTACCTCTGCAGCGGGGCCGACCGGCCACAGCCCCCCACACGACACACACAGGCCCGGCGGCGGCCGGCGGACGGGCCCGGCGCGTCACGCACCCGTCGAGTGACCGCGCCGCGAGCCGGCCAGACCGCCGAGCGGACTTACAGACCCAGTAAACTGACATTTAGATGGTAGATTAACTGGGCGAACAAATAGACCCAGGAAACTGATATTTAGACGGTGAATTAATTGGGCGGACATACAGACCAAGACCACTGAGCTGAAAAAAAGACCACCGTACAGACATCAAGACCACCGGACAGGCATACGGACACGCTGGGTAACTACAGACCACTGGACGGTCACACAGACCCACGGAACAGAACAGACCAGACCACTGGACGAACATACAGACTACCAGACACGGCTGCGCAGCTATGGTCGCATCCACTGAGCACTGACCCATCAGTCTCACTAATCCAGCGCCGGGGGTGTTACGATGCCCTGACCCACGAGTCAAACTGACCCACTGACCCCTGGACGCACCCTACCGTGGACACTCGGGTCTTACTGTGAGTCTGTGCCTGTGGACACTCAGGTCACCCGGATACCCACATTGACAGGTCGTACAGCCCCTATCTGAGGTCAAACAGTGGTCGTGGCTCCTATCTGAGGTCAACCAGTGGTATACACAGCACACCGGGAAATCCGTGTGAAGAAGCATGTCCGCGAACGTCATAGCGATAACGTATCGGCGGATGGGTAACAATAAATAGATGTTTTTTTAGAATGAGTTTCTTTGCGTTCTTTAAGTATGCACTATGCATCTAATCCGCGTAAGCTAATAAGCTAATCTAATCAACTTATCGTGCTTGGAATGCAATTCAATTCGGTCAGCAATGCTGCGCTGGTTGGCTTTCGTTCACACAGAGGGGTACCTAGGTAAAACAAGGAGTTGACGGCCGATTGCCTGTTGCATCACCGGCGTTATATCACATCACCCGACCGCCTGTGACTCGATAACGGCCCACTCAGTGGCTGAGGGGCACGGCCAGTCAAGGACCGGCAGATCCTATCCGCTGCACAAACTCGCTGATCCGCATATCTGCCAGTTCCCTACGGCCCGTGCTCTCCCTTATCCGCCCCAGCACTGTGTTATGCCCTACCTACCGCGGCCCTCCGTTCTCCCTTATGCACCGCAGCCCTGCGTTCTATCCTATGTCCTGTGTTAGGTCCAACCCTGCGGTGTCCTATCCACCACCCATGCCTTCTGTCCAATGTCCTCCGTTCGGATCCATCCATCGACTCCCGGCTTCCTTCCCCATCGCCGAGTCTCTGCCTTCTGTCCTCCGTCCTGACCTATCCGCCGTCTCCCTGCGTTCCGCCCAGTGTCCTTGAGTTCCCGGCGGCTCCTCGCAGACGCTCTCCGTATTTGGAAGACGCCGACCGACGCCTGTGCGTGCCGCCTGTGTAAATATTTACACGGCGAGCTGCTTCGTTATTCGTTATATGCTCTTGCGACCGACCTCGTGGTCGAGGATGTGCCGAGCTTGGTGCCGAGCCCCGCGTTCGAGTGTGCGCACGCCAAAGTGCGCCAGCGGACCGGCGCGGTGGAAGGGACACCCTCAGTCTATTGGTAGGATTCGGAATGCCCTCAGTCCTCCATGATTGTCCCCAGCGCTCAGTCCAGTAAGCCCTCGTCCGAACAGAGATCCCTCAGTCCGGTGGAAGGGGCGCTCTCAGTCCAGTCCGGCGGAAAGAGATGCACCCAGTCCGGTGATGTATGCGACTAAGTCCAGAGGCGGCGGAAGGTATTTTGGGATGGGGGGGCACACCTGATCCTTCCCGGAACCTAGGGTACCCCCAAATCTAGTTTTCTCACCGGTTTTAGGCCACTTATTTTTCACCCCTTGGCCTTTACAACGAAAAATCGAAACGAAAACATTTGCAAAAAGTGAGATATCCCGTCTCATCTGAGTCAAGGAACTACCTTTTTGGTAACTTGGAATAAACGTTTAAAGCTTTCACACATGAGCTGTCAAATCAGGTATAGAGGGGGATTTTTTTACTTAAATAGGTATTGTCTTCCATTCAGCTTTTCTTTGAGGCCCACGGCCGCTAATATAGGGAGGACAAGCTGCCCCGACGGTTCCTGGCCCTATGAAACTTTGTGGGGGCAGCGCCTGCGCCCCCCACGGCCCCAGAGTTGTGGGGGCAGGCTACCCCCATGCTGCCCCCCGGCTCACGAGTCTATGCCGGCTGGCGTCTGGCAGAGTCGCGGGGAAAGGCCTGTGGCACGCTCAGACGCGCTTCTGTGACGTCCGCATGCCGGGCCACTCGCGTTCCGTCCTACTCTTCCGGTTACCGGTAGCTCGTAGATAGCTGCTTGATTTCTGAGCATTATGTGTGGAGGGCGTTTGGTGGAAATGTATGATATTTAGAGAATGAATATGTGCTTACATGTTGTCACAGTCTTCTGCGTTAGAACGCTCCATAATGAAGGTTGTTTCTGGTTAACATTTCGAAAAGGTAATAAATCTATGAAATTATGTTGGTAGATTTCCGATTTCGATTCCTCCGGTTGGAGGGTCTCAAATACCTACATTACGAGCCCTCCCCCCGCCGAAAAGTTGGAGGGGCTCAGCCCCCGCTAGCCCCTCCAGCCGGTTCCCGGGAACCGCCCCTCTGGTTCCCGCGCCACTGCGGCAAGTCCAGTTCAAATACGTGTAGCACGCTGTGGCTGTCACCGTGACTGTTGTTCGCGTTGAACAACTTGCTTCCTTTAAACCAATGACGTCATTAAAGTTAGCCAATTATTGGCTATTGCAAACCTTTTTGGTTGGTAACACTCGCACTGCAAAATGCTAGCCAATGTGATCAAAATATGTACGACGACATTGACAACAATATCAATCCATTCCAAATTACTCGCTCTATTAACTTAAAAAGGTACTCAGCCAAACTGGCATATGTTCATGACGTAGTATGGAAGTATTGTGGTACTTCGTCGATAACAATTTGGGGGGGCAAAAAGATATGTTTGCACCCCCACCCTGGAAGATGGGGGGGCGCCGTGCCCCCGCTGCCCCCCCGCTTCCGCCGCCACTGACTAAGTCCGGAGGAAGAGATGCCGGTCCGGGATGGCGACGCCCTCGGTCGGTGGTTCGGACGTCCTCAGCGTTCCACAAATGAACCCCCGCAGTGCAACATCCTGGTTGCAGTGACAGCTGGGAAACGAATGATGAACAGCAGCCGACGATCCATTCCGTGTGTGTGTGTGTGTGTGTGTGTGTGTGTGTAGGGGGGGGGGGGTAATCAGGAAGGCACACAGGTGCCCAGAGTCCAAACAGCGGTCACAGGAAGTGTAGGTTGGGGACGGGCCACCGATCGACAAGGGAAGACACGTTGCCCGACAAACAATGGAGTCAGGGCACCTTTGGAGGCCGTGCATTTACTCGACAGCATGCCACTATACCATCGGAAGTGAGAACATGACTGGAAATTTCCACCTTATCCGGGTGCCTCCAGGGACACGTTTCGGTCCAATTATGTAACACTGTTTACCAGCTGACAGGGAGAGGATCGCACCTCAATTCGGATCGCGCCGCTCCTGTCGAGGTCACGCCACCGTTCCCGTTCCGTCCTCCGCCGTCCCGGGCTGGCGGCGGCCCAGCTATTTACGGGTGACGTCATGAGCCCGTGGAACTCCCGTTATGTAACCGATGACTGTTGGCACGGTTACGTAACAGCCCAGCTTAGTTGTTGCCATGGTAACACCCGTTCATGAGAGGACGCACGGGGATAATATGCTGACGAGGCGTCAGCTACCGGTCGGTCCGACTGTATTGACGGCGCCGGAGGCTGCAGCCCCCGGTAGTGATTGAGCGGGCTCCGCGCGGCCGCCGACACCTGTACCTGGCGCCGACATGGAGGGCGGCGCGGAGCCAGGAGCAGCCCGCTGACGTCACTCTGACGTCATAGGGATGAGCGTCAGGTGTCGACGCTGCCGGGCTCAGCGGCGCGTCGACCCGTCCTATCGGCCACCACCGTGCCTCACAGCTAGCGCAGTGCCGGTGTCTCCCGCCTTCTCTTCTGCGTTCGCCCGGCACTGGCGGCCGGTGGATCGCGCTCGGGCCGAGAGCTGAGACATCACATGGCTAGCGGCGTGGAAGAAAATGGACCAAACCATGCCCAGTGAAGACAGTCAAAATAGGATGAGAAAAGACCACGAGAACACTGCAGTTTTCACCGAAACACTGCAAGAGGGCAGGGATTGCAGGCATTCTAGTAGAGTATATCCCGTGTCCCAGCACTAGCCCCTAACCGGGTTTGTCATACCGCCAAGCTACTCGAGCCTGCCACCGCACACTCGAGCGACATTATTCGTAAAATATATTCTCTAGACAAGAGGGCCGTCCCATGTCTGGGTTGCAGGCCTCTGGGGCAGGGCAGTGCTACCCTGCGGCCACTCCGGCCCGCGGGCTGCCCTGCTCGAGCCGACATATTGCACAATACAATAGCGCATGCAAAAGGAGAAAGCCAAAGAGATAAAGAGGGATAGCGAAAAAAAGATCTAGGCGCGCGGCGGCAGTGGGCAGGCCGACCTGTCGGGTGGTGAGTGTCTGCCCGCCCGGTCCGGCGGAGAGTCCCTCGGTGCTGTGCGCGGTCGGTCAGCCCGCCCGCCACTCCGTGAAGGACAGTCCCGGCGGGATCCGCGGCGGCTGCCAGTCTCGTCACCCGGCCGAGCGGCGGCCGGAGCCGTCCGAGCCGCCCGGGCGGGACCAGCCCGCTCCCGGGCAGACGCTGAGAGCCGAGAGGAGCGCACCAACAGCGCCAGCCGGCGGCCGGCGCCGGCCCGCCGACCCACACTCAACACTAACGCGATGGCACGATAACAAATATCCGGCTGGTTGTACTTGAATACTGTCTTCGCGGCGGCGTCGGCGCCAGTCCCTCCGACAGCCGCTGTGCAGCGCTCTCGCCACCGCCCGACGACGCAGCTCCCCGTCTAAAAACACACGGGCGCCGCACATTTCAGCTCACTCAGCACTCACACCGACACGACACTGCAGTCCACGCCACCGGCACGGTCTCACTCGGTCCTCCCTTCCTCCGGGGGCGGCGCGTCCCTCCTCAGTGTCCCACCGAGAGCCTGCGGTCAGACGGCGTCCCCGGGCGGCGACTGAGCGTCCTCGGCCGTCGGCCGGCGCAGCCGCGTCACCGTGTTCACCGCCTCCATGGGCAGTCGGGACGGCTCGCTCAGGATGCTGGTGGTCTTGGAGAGGTCGCAGAGCGCGGTGGTGGCGCGCCGGCGGAACTGCACCAGGCCGCAGCTCTGCTCCTGCCAGGCCAGAACGGTGCGGCACAGCTCGTCCACGTTGGACGTGCTCACCGAGGTGCTGTAGCTCTCCAGCAGCGGCGGCAGCAGCTTCGAGAAGACGAAGAAGCGCCAGTTCTGCAGCGTCCGCTCGCGGATGTAGTTGTCGAACATCTCCTGCGTTTTGCTCTGTTTGGCGCGCGTCACCTGTCGAAGGCAGAACAGTCAGTGTCAGAATACAGGAATGCGTCGTCTTACACGATCATCGGTAGATATCCAACCAGGCATCACTGCTCAAAGATGAAAATAGCATTCAGTATTAAGTTCGCTAAAAAAGCTATTCATTTAGCGGTGATTCATTTTCAGACATCTGGGGAAAATCAAACACGTTATTTGATACGAAAAATACACAGAATTTTCTATAGCATGGTGGGTATCAGCCAGGGCTATCGGTCCGCCCAAAACTGAGGCCAAGTCAGCTGATACCACCAAATCGAATCACACTACCATATAGGTCAGTGTCCAGACAACCTGAGATGCTGGTTTGACTTCCTTAGATCACGGAAACTACTGGTAACCTCGTCTCGAACGATTGGTCGCTTTACAGGACCATAAAGCCTTGACACAGTTATTGTTTACAAATGAACCTGAGCGCACTCTATCGTTGAGCACGCCGGAAGCACGTGCGCAGGGCGGGGGCCGACCCGAGCCTCTACCGACCGTACAGAGGTCGGTGGGAGCCCACAGCTGCGGCGGACTGCGGCGCTCCCACGGACAACTGGGCTGGGGCGGCCGGCCGACCAGCCGCAGCACCGGCCTCGCTACAGCACGGCAGAGCGGACCCACCGCCCACCAGCATGACCCACCGCCCACCAGCATGACCCACCGCCCACCAGCGCGACCCACCACCCACCACAGCCGACCGGCCACAGAGGCCCGCACTCCGCCCCTGTCCGGGCCCTTTGGCGGTGACTCGCAATGCTCAGCACTGCTCGGCACCACGTGGTCAGTTGCCGGCCGGGATAACCTCTGGACAGTCACGTCACCACAGCGGTCGGCGATTCCAAGTCAGCGTGCCCCGTGGCCGGGCCGTACTGACAAACATTTACATACAGCGCGCGATAGTGTCGAGCACAGCACCCGGACGGAGAGGGTAGGACCGAGCAGGTGACAACGGACGGGCAGCAGGATCACCAGCGGTCTAACTCACCGGCGCTCCCGTGGCCGGCAGCATCGCCTGGCAGTTGTTGATCTGCTGGTTGAGCCGCTCAATCTCCTGCTTTAGCTCGTCCGCCTCCGCCTGTTGACAGCAGAGAGAACGTTAGAGACGTGGAGGCAGTGACAGGTCACAGACGTACTGTCATAGGCAACAGCAAACAAACATAAATAGGTGGGCAACAGGCATCACAGACACATCATTCAGCCTCTCAAAATCAGTGACCAGCGACAACAACTATATTCAACTGGAGCCGCTGTTCAAGTGTACAATGCATATTGCATATGTCTCCCGGAGCATTAGCCCTGCCATCAGCCGTGAAGAGATTCTTATCTCGATACAGCAAAGTGGAGCCCCAGTGGAGCTCGATGCCTATTCAGCCCACTACACGACACGCGTTACACGGAACCATGCATATGCTCAGTGAACCACAATCAGTGCCTCGATGTGGGAGCACAATGTCAATGTTGTCCCCGCCCCCCGGCACCTTGGTAGTTGGTACCCGAGTTCAGACTACAGAGAGCGGCGCTGGTCAGTGGAGCAATATTGACGACAGTCCACCTGAAAATAGGACGATCTACAGCCTTTTAAGATCTAATAGATCTTAGCCTTTTAAGATCACGAAACTATGACATTTTACCATCAAATACATACGACGAATAACATAATTCTAATTTAAGGTACGGTCGAGAATGAAACCCATGACATAATCTGCGTAAAACACCTATTAAAACTTGCAATCACAACACGTTTCCGCGATTCCAACATCTGTAGTTTTTGTCAGTTTTATTGGATATCCCTAGCACCTACGCCTTTATCTTTGAACGTCTACTTCTGAAAAGTATGCGTGGAAAAATCGTAGCTCCATAACAGTGGGCGCCCAACTAGCAGCACGAGTCTCAGCTGATGTTTTCGATGATGATCCGCCCCCACAGCTGGCCCGAGGGAGCGTCCCATACGTCAAACAGCGGCTCCCCGGGGTAGACGGCGGAGCTCCGCCCCAGTCCCCTGATGGCAACCGCCAGGGGCCAAGTTATCGCAATCAGTGGTCTGGGACGAATATGCCAACTGTGGACCTATCCGTCAGGGAATGCGCGCAGCTGAGCGATGGGAAAACCAGCCCAAACCATGAATGCGCTTAACACGAATAGATGTTTTCCGAGAATACCCCACGATCGAACACCACACAGATGGCCTGCGTCTGTGTCGCCGCCGCCGTTTGAGCGCGCGGCGCAGCAGCGGCGGCGGCAGCGGTTTGGCCTTGAACACGATGCATTGTAATGGTGACGCACGGGGGGCTCGCCAGTATCGGGTGACCGCTAAGCCGTCTGTCCGCACGCCCACCGAGCCGCGATAGCCGGTGTACACCTGAGCCGCCCGCGCGTCAGCCCTGACCAGCTCAGACGGACTCCGCTGGCCCAGTCAGCACAGCACAGCTGGTCACAGGCCGGGCAGTCTGTGCCCCTCCCACAATCCCCTTCCGGCGGTGGCCGTGCCACGCCCACCAATCCGTCCTCGGCTCACGTCTGATAGTACGCCAACGGTGACGCAATCTGCCAAACCCTCCATCTCCTCTCTCAACAAACACAGTGCCGGGCTGCAGCCGGCTGCGTCCCAGCCCTCCGCCCCGCCCCGCGGCCTGACCAACCTGCACCCGGCCGGTATCCCAACACTCCGCCCCGCCCCCGCAGCATGACTAACCTGTAGTCGAGAGCGCTCCGTCTTCAGCTCACTGATGTACTCGGCTCCCTGGTGCAGCATCGCGGCCTTGCTGACCTTGGCACTGCTATTGTTCCGCAGAGACGGCACCAGACTGTACAGAACATCAAAACCGCTCTTGATGTTACCGCGTCGCTTCTGTTCCGCGTTGATGTGGCAGGCACGTCTGTGCTCCTTGTAGACGCCACGGCCGGTCCCTGGCTCCGGCGGGGACGGTACAGGAGCCGGCGGAGACGGTAGCGAGAACGAGCCCACGGATCCGGCCGGCGACTGGAGCCGCGGCGAGGGCGCCGTCATGGCCACCGATCCCGGCGCCGACATCGACATGGAGACTGGCGACGACATGGACAGCGAGCGAGCCAGGGAGGCGGGCGCCGCCATGGCCCCCGACCGCGTCATTGAGACGGGCGCCGTCAGAGACACGGACCGAGCCACCGACACCGGCGGCGCCATGGCCATGGTGACTGAGGGTGAGGCCGAGGCGGCGATGGAGGCCAGCGCGCCCTGGTTAATCTGGCCGGTGCGGCTCGGCGTCAGGAGCTGGGTGAGCATGGTGACCGGCTGGCCGCCGCCGCCTGACGACTCCGCGCCGAGACTGAGCAGGCCGCGTGCGCGCGCTACGCTTGATGAGTCGCTGATGGAGCGTTCCATGGCGCCAGCAGCACGCGCCCGCTGGATCTCCGTCAGCGAGTTGCGGCGCGGCTGCTGGTGACGCGGCTGGCGCACCGGTGCCGCCAGCGTGGTCACGGGTTTGTCGACCGGCCGGGCGGCCAGGGGACGGGAGGACAGCGAGCGAGTACGAGCAGGTGCCGGTGGCGGCGGCTGGGGCGGCGGCGGCGGAGGCGTGAACACCGCGTCCGCTGCCAGCGGCGCAGAGTTCACCATCACTGAAGACGCATAACAGCTGAGTGTGGCCGGCGGCGACTCCAGCTGCAGCGGCGGCTTCGTGGGCGGCGCCGGCGGCGGCGGCGGCGGCTGCTCCAGCAGGATGGGTTCCACCAGCATGGGCTGCACGGTCGGCTCGGGCGGCGGCGGTGTGTGCACGGCCGGCAGCGGCGGCTCAGTGGGCTCCTCGTCCACGGTCGGCAGTCGGCTGGAGAGCCACTCCTGCAGCGGCTCCAGCGTGTCCATGATGTCCAGGTCGCTGAGACTCGGCTGCAGCTGCACCAGACTCGGCTGGATGAAGTCGGCCACGCCGACGCGGATCTCGCGCGGGTTGGGGAAGGTGTACGGCTGCTGCATCAACATGTCCATCAGGCCGTCGGAGAAGTCGGTCAGGTCCATGCCGTCGGGGCCTGTGTCTAGCGAGCCGGCCGGCGAGAACGACCAGTCGGCCGGCGGCATCATGCTGCGGCCCTGCGCCAGCGCCTGCTGCCGCTCCACGCGGTTCTTGTTGAAGATGCGCCACTTTTTGTACTCTGCAGTCACCGCCTCCGTCTTGCGCTTCCAGTACTTGCCCTCGAGCACCACGGCCACTGGCTTGTGCTGCTCGCCCTCCGCTGACGAGGCGAAATGACAGACGCCGCGGTTCTGCTTCTTCACAAACTGAATGTGCCAGCAGCGCCAGATGACATTGTTGAGCCGGATCTTGTCCTTCATGTTGAGCTTCATGCCGCGGAACGAGTTCCAGCGCGGGTTGGAGATCTGCTCGCTGTAGGCGATCGTCAGCGTGTTGAAGAGCTTGGTGAGCGAGCTGTCGATGTGCACCGAGTTGGGAGAGTCCTGCTTCACCACCTCGCCAGAGACGCTCTCGTCGCCCGAGTTGGCGTCATCGAGGATGGGCGCGTTCAGGCGCTCCTCGAGCTCCTCCTCCTCGCGCAGGAAGTTGGACACCATGAAGTGTCCCGAGTGGATGGACTCCTTGGCGGAGCCGCGCGCCGGCACCGGCGGCCGCACGGGCCGCGGCGCCAGCACCTCTCCGAACAGGCCCATCGACTGCAGCATCTGCCAGGACACGGAAACACACCGCGTCAGTCACGGCAGAACACACACACACAAGAGCACACGACAGTCAACGCAGGGGCACAAGGCGTCAGGGCAGTACACTCACGAGCACACGGCAGTCTACAAACAGACACAAGGCACCACAATCATACATACAAAACGACACACATTGTCGATTCCACAGGCTACGCACGAGCACAAGGCAGTCTCTCAGTCTACACACCACACAGTCATACGGTGTCACAGCTACACAGCCACATAGCGACACACTCACAAATGGACACACAGCATCAGTCAACAAACCAACACAAGTCGTCTGGCCGGCGCACTCACAGACGCACGCGGCACCGCCGGCACAGCAGGTCTCCCTGGCGAGTGTCGCCGGCAACTGTGACGTCAGGGGGGCCGTACCGCTCGCGGCCGGCCGGCAGGGGCGGCGCGCGGCCCGCGACCTTGGTAGTGGTTCGTGATGAAATGCGCGGCCGGTCGGCGTCATTCATGAGCATTGCGCAGCGGCTGGCCGGTGCTGCCGCCCGGGGGCAGCCTACGCAGCGACGGGCCACTGCACTGGCCGGGGGTGGTATCTGATGTCGACATGCAACCATGTTTGGAAATCGGTGCCTTGGTCGGAGTTGTACTGTATAGCGGAACATGAGGCCCGCGGCGGATGGAGCCATTACAGCGCAGTGAAAGAGGATGGGGCTCCGGGCGAGTGGTTACAGCTCTGAAGACGGGGGATGACTCTGAGATGAAGAAGAGGCGGGGCACGCGATGGCACCGAGACGAAGAAGTGGGCGGGGTATGGAATGCCAAAGGGACGGAGCAGAGGCCAGGGCAGCGTGTGGGACAGCGGGCAGGCCGAGAGGCACCTTAGGAATGAAAGCGGGGTCAGAGGACGGGACGAACAGAACAGACGAGTTAAATAGGGGAGAGTCCAAGGGACAGGTGATTGCTCCGACGTACTCGTAGAGCCAGGAACAGGGGTCGACTCGGTCGGCTATCCCCCTCAGCGGGCCTCACCAGTGAACAGAGAGCAGCAGCAGCGTCGTCGGCGGCGGAGGGGCCAGCCACAGATAACCAAACGGGCCAACGTCAACAGGCGGCGGCGCGTCGGTGCACAGCAGCCAACGGCGCCACACAACACACTGCGCCTCACCCGGCGGATCCGCTCCAACCCTCACAGCCCGGCGGTCCGCGCCGTCAGCACGTGCTCTCACTGGGCACCCGGCCGGCGCCGACGGTCCTGCCCCAGCGCTGCGCGAGCGGCGACTGGCGGCGCGGTGCAGCAGCACCCGGAGCACGGGAGCGGCGGCGGCGGCCGGCGCCGGGTCGATCCCCGTCCAAAGTCCACAGCGCGGCCAACAAACCGGGAGGACCGCGGCGGGCGGTACGGAGGAGGACAGGTGCACGGTGTAGTGCTCACCGAACCGATGCACCGAGCGGGGACGGTGATCAGGCGGGTCAGGTCGGGTCACTGGCGCCTCTCCAGACCATCAAAGGTCGGAGTGCACGCGGAGGCGGCGCCCCAGTCGAGGCCCACTGGCCCCCATGATCCCGGAGCCGGGTGACCGTCCACATTCCAGGACAAAGGGCTCGTCCTATGACAGCCAGCGGTCGGTGCCGCCGCTGCCGCACCGGCCAAGATCCACAGATGGAGGCGCCGCTGCCGACCAAGGCCAGGCCGGCGGCTGACGCACGCAGCGCTGCACCGGCGGCCCTGCGGCGGCGGCAGCGGCGGTCCTGCGCACCACGCACCCCGGGGTGTCACACTGCCGAATTGTATACAATGCCCCAGAGTCCGTCTGATGCAATCCTACCGATTACCCCGCATAATTTCACATCGTATTTCACCAATATGTAAGTTAGGATAAGAGACAAGGCATATAGGATGTTAACCATCACAGAAAAGCAGAACCGATAAGCATGCATGTAAATATATAGCGGATCAGCAGCCTCATATGTAGACACAGTTCTTCTTTATTCAGGACATTGGTAAGACTGGGCTCAGTGCTCGAAATAAACCCACATCCCAGCTCGTCGGCCCAGGATCCCAGTCGGTCAGGGCTTTTGGCACATGGCACAGGTCTGCCACTGACAGCGTTGTTGTCAGCGCCGAGGCCGAGCTCGGTCGGCCGGGAGCGGCCCACACACGGGCCCTTATCGGGGTCGGCCGCGCCCCACTGATAAACGCCGCCCGAGTGAGCTGGGAGCTGCGAACTGGGAGCAGCCGGGCACAGGGCGAACTAGGAGAGCTGCGAACCGAGTCCAAAAAGCCCAAAAGAGACTGGGAGCGGGGCAGCGACCCTGGTCGACCCCCGGGCCCAAAATGACCTGGGAGCTGGAGATGACCCAGGTCGGCCCCAGAGCAAACTAACAGCGGAGAGGTGAGCCTGATCGGCACTTCCTCTTTCGTCTGCCCGCTCATCGATCGCCCGACAATGGCAAAGGAAATAGCGTGGTCCCGCTCCCACCGGCTGTGCCCACAGTCTCACACTACCGCCGCCGCTGCCGCGCGCGTCCGCCGACCGTTCGGCAGTCGCTGTGCGGCGCGGCGACCTTGGCAGCCACGCAGCGTGCGCCAGCGGCAGTGCGGAGCCACGCAGCGCGCCAAGGACAGGACAGGCGGAGCGGCCCGCCCACCGTCCTTACCGCCAGGCCGCGGCTCCCACCACAGACCAACAGCCGACTACAAACTGGCGCAGTTTATAAACAATTCACCACAGCACACACCACCAACGCACTGTTCAGTGTCCAGAATCGGGTGCCCCGCCTCTGACGCAGCCAAAAATACACCACAGCACTGACCACATCGGATCTCGGACTGGTTGTCTGAACGCAATGATGAAGATCTAAAAGAAGACGTAGGGATGAAGGCAAACGTCACAGTCAGTCACCATAAGAAAAGCTATAATTGGCAAAAGCTTTCATACATCACTCATGTAGATATCAGCCAGAAATAACTCCATGAAAAGCAGCCATACGGTCTGACTGCCTAGCTACACACGTGCCTCTAAACATGGGCATAACATACAAACACTCCCACCTTGAACACATGTGTAGGAAGTAGAGTGTTTGATATGACTGGGCTGTTATCGCTACGCTCCTTGTGTTCTACTCTGCGAGCGTGACACAATGACCCAATGGCCTGACGAGGCCAGGCGACAGTTTCGACACGCAATTCGGGTGTTATCTAACCCACAGCTGGTCTTGTTTCGGAATCTAATAATATTAATTACGTTCTCTATGAGTGCATGTCCCGTCAGATAAAGCTCAGCAGAATAAATGCGCTGGGAGAGAGGCCATGGGGATATGATCACCTCAAATAACTGCGCTGATCAAATAACAGCGATACACATCAAAATGAGCCGAGTTCACGCCTGTCGTTTGACCATTCCAGGAAACTTTGTGTGCCCTGAGAAATAACGTACTGCTGAAGCCAGAACGCCTTCACATTTCCTTGTGCCGCACAATCCGCTTAGAGTACGAGCCATAAACGTCGCTGGTCGAGACTCGAGAGCAGCGGCCAAGCTACAAGTCACCGTCACACCATCATGATATCAAATAATTGTCAGATAAGATTTGTGCGCCAAGTGCACAAAGCGATGTTCTTGTGAAGAGGACACAATGTTCACAAGGAGGGCCTTACCCTTGATGCTATGATTGCTATGACTCCGGAGGCTGGCGTGGTGGGTGAGAATACGACGATGAAAGAGGTCAGTGACGGACCAAAAGCTACAAACTTCAGATTTTACAGCACTTCACCAATCTATGCCCACAAGATTCCAGCTGACAATATTTTCGTCCACAATCGTACTGCATACAAGAGAGGACCATGATGAATCATGAAACAATAATATGCAGCAGTTCTGTGGTCTGTTCACCAGTATCGCTCGAGGTTATTTTGATCATACTCCCGAATCTGCCAGTGAGAATCGGATGAGTGATGTTGAGCGGATACTAACCCACTGGACCGCAGCACGTAACCCACCCACCGGGGACCGGTCCCGGCGCTCCCAGCCGAGCACATCACGGCCTGACAGCCGAGCAGTGACGTCACTAGACCCATGACGTCACCACTGGACGACAGGAATGTGGCGCGTAGTACGTTGGCCAACACTAGCGTGTTAGCTTGTTTCCCATGGAGGGACTATATGCTGTCTGTTCCGTTTTTCGACAGTCCTATTCAAAAGGCGATATTCAGCTCCATGTCATGAGCTGTGAAGACTAATGAGCCTCAGGCCAAACTAAGCATCACTTCCATGAAGGTGACCTGAGGAGACAGCCTCAACCTTGCCTAGCCATGAGCGGAATCAAATAACTCTGCCGCATTGGCTGCCTGGTGTTGCGGGCTCTCATCGAGAAAGAAGCCGACGTCGTGGCTGTCATCAACCCATTCATCAACCTCGACTACATGGTGCACAAGCTGAGGCTCTTCCTGCAGCAGCTTCAATGGGGAAGACTAACGCCAAATTGGGCAGTCTGGCTATTGGTCACTGATGGCAAGACCATCCTCTTCAAAGAGACGAAGCCGAACCGAAAAACATTCCGTGGTCGAAGGTGGGAGCCGAGAGTACATCGTCCAGTCCACAGGAGTCTTCACCACCACAGAGAAGGCGAACGCCCACTTCGAGGGCGGCGACAAGAAGGTGGACTGGTTATCCCGGTGCCCTCGGCCGATGAAACCTTGTTTGTCTGCGGCGTCAACCTGGATTCGTCCGACACGAGCCCCGAAAAAGGTCTCGAACGCCTCCTGCACGACCCACTGCCTGTCGTTGCTGGCCGACGTGGTCCACAGCAGCTTCAACATCGTGTAGTCGCTCAACATCAGGTAGTCGTAAAGCAGGAGTTTTGACGCGGCATAGCACCACATTCTTGTTTTTTTTTTTTTTTGCAACCAAGGAGAGGCGTTATTAGTTATTACCCAGAGCTGCTTTCTAATGAAACCAAACCGAACCTTACAAAACCTGACCTAACCTTGCCTACAACCTGCAACCTTAAATCTACAACCTAACCTACAGCTCCTCTCCAGCCCCGACTGGAAAAATGCTTACTACCTACGCTGGAGTCTTCAGCAGTTGCGCTGCGGCGAAATTTCGGCGCAACGGTCTGAGCGCCAATACTTTTTGCGGTGCTATGCGCCGCATCTTGCGCTTAAAAACACACAATGTGGCAAAACTGTTCACACTTCACAGAATCTCATAATTGCAACAGCAGCAACGGAACGGATGTAGTGGTATAAAGACAGCAGAAAACAATTAGGGCACTTATACACACTTTAATTACAAGACAAGCCAAGCGAGAACGTAGACATCATACAGCAAATCAAAAATATGGTTTGTAGGTAGCTGCCATGGGTGACATGCATTAAAATTTCACATCATCTTGAGTGCGGAGAGCTCTCGTGCAGCTGTCTGCAGTCTAATCTGCCAAAACTTTGCGTTCCGTCCCGTGCCCATAGGCCTGCCTATCTTACTTCAAAATAAGGACTCTTCCCCTCTCCCGCGATAATCGTGTGATGACGCACGACACCATCGGCGGACACTGGGTGCGGCGGTCGCTGTATGCCATGATGGTCGCGCGCGTCGTCTGGAGGTGTCGCTCCGCAGAGCGCTCGATCAATCCGGGCACGGCGACGACGGAGGGCAGGGACCAGTCCACTTTAGTGCGGGGCACCAACGTGTCATTTGACTTGCCCCCATCCACGCACTGACTGGCCATGACGCTGTTCAGCGACTCAACGATGGTCTCGGCCTCGGGGCCACCCTCAGCCAGTGCTACGTCCAGAGTTGTGCACATGGGCCTTCCCAGACGAAAGTAGAGGCCTTCCTCTGTGTAAACACATCGGATCGGCTCCTGCTCTTGCAGCACTGTTTCCACTACATTAACGTTCTCGTCATCTGCCCTCACGGTGAAGGTGTAGCGGGATTTGAACCCCAACGAGAGGCCGTCCTCACGCGAGACGCTCACAGGCCGTCCAGCCGGCCAGGTCTGCAGGTTCTGGCTGCCCTCTGGCACAAAGCACCGGCGCCTGAATCCTGATAATCTCTGCCTCTGGAGAGGAGCCGTACATCATCCACTCAAGGGCTCCTTGGAATCGCCGATATGCCGGGACAGCCGGACCGTACTGCTCAGACGGCACGTGCGACGGGCCGCCGACGTGATCGTGCAGTACAGCTAACTGCAGGGGCATCACAGGGAGCGCCTCGAAGATGACCCGATTCAGCTTCATGTCAAATGTGCCGCACAGCGTGCGATTCGCGAACAAAATTGTGTTCGTGAACCTGCTCACAGTCAATTTAGGCCCATCATGTGAAAAGGAAGTGTATGAACTTGACAC